CATACCTGAAATGAGTCTGCCAACCAGGACTTCAAACAAATGCATCTCAGTATGTGTTTGTATAATGTAGGTGTAATTTTTTAGCACAGAAATGGCCAACATTTGTATCATAAAACAAATGAATGTGGATGTAACCCTAGATGCAATGATGTACTTGGGAGGTATTAATGTGAATAGAAACAGGCATATCCAAGAATGTGTGGAAGGGCAGAAAAACAGAGGTCATTCCTTAAGTCGCATGTAAATGTGGACATGAATAATAACAGGTACTATATACTGTAGTTGTCCGAGTATTATTAAACCCCTCCAGACAAACAGCAAATTTACGAAAAATTGGGGGAGGGGGGCTTATAAACGGATAAAAGTTAAAACTTTTCCCCGAGCGATAAATGATCAGCAAATGATCACAATTATGCAATCCGGTCATTCTGGGTTTCACAATTGTTGATTATTACTCAGTAGTGATTATAATAATGTACAAAAAAATAGATTTGTTGAATTGTTATGTAATAAAATTCAACTTAGATTCATCGTAAGCAAATTCTGGTCGCATATAAACGCTCTATGCTGTCAGGTATCCGCCATGTTGCATCTCTTGCACGAGTTATCCTAATAGGTCAAATTGCTAATTAACCAATCAAACTCAGTTTAGTCTGATAAATGACTTGTTGTAAAATGCTGTAAATTGGGAGGGGGGTTTATACTCAAGCAGGGGTATATACTCGGACAACTACGGTATATACCAAGAGTTGGTTGATCAGTAGACTGGCGCAGTCGGGGCGAATTAATTTGTTTTTGTAGTTTAAATAAAATAAAAAAAAAATTGCGAAATGGAGGTATTAGCGCGAAATCACGAAGACTGGTTTATTCTGCAGGAAATTCATTGCTATTAAATATTTATGATGCACATATTATGAGGTGGGCGCGGAAATACGTGCATAATGAGGCCAACATGATAAAGGTAACTCGTACTTGTCATAGAATTAAAAAAAATATTGACTGCTACAATCAGCCGACGTCTTCTCGGTCAGAGGTCAGTTGAAGAGACGCTGTGAATGTCAATGAGAACACTCATTAACATAATTACCCGTTGAAAAATCAACGGGTTTCTGCAGTGTCGATAGAGGGCCATGCAGAATAAACCAGTCTGGGTGATTTCGCAGTTACACCTCCATTTTGCAATTTATTTAATTTTATTTAAACTACAAAAACAAATTAATCGCCCTGACTGCGCCAGTCTAGTTGATCAGGTATAAATAGCAATAAACTAATATTGAAACCCAGCATTTGCATACCTGTTCAATTGCATTCTCAACATCCACATTCTCTGACACTTGTGCAATGTTGTCACCACTACCACCATTATCAGCTGTCGATGCTTGGTTTTTAGGCCAATTCAATGCAAGTTTACCGGCTTCAGTTAATGTTAATGTCTGTTCACCATCTACAGACACTGCCTGTCCACTATCCACAGTGACTGTCTGTGCTTCAAGCCATGATAATGTTTCCTGTGCAGTAGTTGCTGATTCAAAATAAAACATACCATTAGTCTAGGATAGAACTAGCTGGTTTACTAAAATTAAGATTTCCCCCTCAGTATAATCAGAAAGTAATAGCAAGTAGATAGGTAATGGAAATGACTCGTTCATGGGTTTCTTTCAATTCATGTTGTAAATATGTACACAACCATAATTTCAATCCAGTCAGAAGCACATTCCTAATACAACCCAAAAACCAATAAAAAAATTAATAAACTAATAAACCCCAAATCACATTTATTGTATGTAAATAGATCTTAGCAATATGTGCATGTGTTACTATGCCCTTTTAATGGAGCAAACACCAGACTCTAATAAGAGTGGTTAAGCTATGCAACAGTAATTCATATTCAACTTAATATGGGTATATGTTTATGACAGAGATATAGCCTCTTCTTTACCACCAACAGCTATTACAACTCAAATCAAGGGTGATAACAAAATAGAACCAATTATGTACAATGGACTGCTAAGGGTAAAAATACTTTTAGCCATAGTGGCTAATACTACATTGTTTTCTAAG